TCCTGAGGCCACACTGGCACAGGCCTGTCCCGTGGCCTGGTAGGACACGCTGTCTCCCTTGTAGGTCTGCAGCCCTGGGTGTAGCAGCCTTGCTTGTGCTGAGCATTCAGATCATTTGAGGAAAGTGAGGGAGCCAGAAGAGATCTGTCAAAGGATGACCTGCTTAAGTATTAATTAACTGTGCCAGGGAGGACTTGAAGATCTGATGCCAGGACGCTGGGCACTCCTGCCCTTTCTATTCATAATCCACATTAAGTTTCTGGGCAGGTATTCGGAGTTTCTGCTAATGTTACCCAATAAGATTCTTTTGTTCTCACCATTAGGAAAATTGGCCTTCATTGGAGAAGAAAATATTAATACGTTAGGCCTAGAAGCACAGAACCTGTCTGTATTTAATGAGTCAGTGCCAGTTCCCTGGTAGTTACCTTCCTGTCTTCAATCGTGGGCATTTCAGCCAGCAGTTATCCCAACCTGCTGGGCATCAGAGTTATTTGATGAATTTTAAAACCCCCATATTTGATAGGCCTTGGTTGGGGCCTGAGAACTGATGTTTCTAACAAGTTCCCAGAGGATGCTGATGATGATGCTGGTGACCTAGGGACCACACGTTGAGGACTGCTATTCTAAAAACTCTGAAATATCAGTAGTATTTAAATAGACATTTTGCAATTTCTTTGATGACTTGTAACCTGGCCTTCAGTTTAGAACCCAGATGGGCTGGATTTAAGAAAGATGGTATTGTCCAAGAAAGTTAGTAGCTCCGTACGTTTTTAAAAATGATTGCCATGTTTAAGTTTTGTTGCCTTTGGTCTGGTTGGCTGTTTGGAGTTAGCTGTTTCCAAAGGATGGAGTATGTTACCATGGTGATATCCTTCCCCATTTAGGAAGGCCCCAGAGGTCTGTCTTCTGCAAGTGACCGGGTGTTTTCTCATGGCTTTTCCCATGGGGTGCTACAGGGTTCCGTGCCATCACTCCTGGTGGGAGTTCCCAGGAAGCTGGGGTAGATGGGAGGCTCCAGGCCCCCTCTTTCTCCAGCCTGTAAACGAAGTGAGCTTCCTTTGTCACTCCAAGGCCCAGCGTGCCAAGGGCAGTGGATTAGATTAAGCTCATCTGGGCACAAAGCAGAAGTGGCTGGTAGGGGCATCCCCAAGGCTGTGAGGAAGGTGCTTTCCACTCCCTTAATTAGCAGCTCTGGCCTTGGAGAGCTGTGTCTGGATTCTCAGCTCGGGAAGGCATGCCTCTCCTTCAGCATTTAGCATGAAGGTTATTACCTCTATGGACGCAGGGCATGGCAGAGACGTCTGTGGCACGTGACTACCATGGGATTTCTTTGTTCTCCTGCCAGGGTTCTCCTTGAAGGCCACACAGATATCCTGGTGTTCTTCCCTTAGGGTGTAACACACATGGTGTCCAGGTGGCCACAGCTCAGCAAAGGACAGTTCAAGGTGTGGCTCTGCATACCTTGCGTGGGGTCGAGCTCTGGCTGCTATGGGCCCTCTCTTTCCTGTGTGCGTCTCTGCAGCTGGGATAGACCAGTCACAGGACCTAGGTTTGAACATCCAGGGGTGTCACAATCAAATCGTACACAGGGGGCTACTACAAATGTCCTCCTGAAGTGTTTCTCTGAGATAACTTGATGGTTACACTGGACCAGGTACAAAGCTGCTGGTTACCTCTGTCTGCCCAAGAGTGGAGGTGGGAAGCTGGGACAGACACAGGACAAGCAACTGGACGTGTTCCCCTGTTTAATCCGGGTTGATCAGTCACACCCTGACTTTAGGAAAGCTTATCCCAAGTTTGTGTGACAGCCCTAGTATGTAATTTAGGATTTACAGAAGACTCTGCATCTACTTTTGGGGTGGGTGTTACCTCGGGGGACATGTTCTGTAGCCTGAATGGGAGGCCAGAGATAAGAGCAGATTCCTAAACATAAAGTGTTCAAACTCCGTGGGTCTGAAGGGAAAAGACGGACATTTACAAGCTTATATGGGACAATGCCTGATGTACTTTCTCACGTGATCTTCGGGACATCCAGCCAGGACGTCTTCGGCCCCTTTCTCAGGAGGGGAAACTGAGTTTCAGGAGGCCGAGAAGTGAGCTGCCCCAGGCCACCACGCTGACCAGGGAGCACTTTCCATTCCACCGAAAGCACTGTGTTTCACCCGATTTTCTTCCTCCCTTGCTTCCCACCAAACCGTATCCACCTTTTCCAGAAGTATCTGTGGCCCGAAACAGTTTTAAATGCAGAGAGGGCTATTTACTTTGAAGCAGCTAAATCCATCATTATGACTCTGGATTCAGATTAGCGAAATGTTGTGGAATGACCCACTATTCATTCCCTCTCTCTCTCTCTAAAGGATTTTATTTATTTATTTTTAGAAAGGGGGAAAGGAGGGAGAAAGAAATGTAGAGAAACATAGATCGGTTGCCTCTCGCACGCCCCCAACTGGGGACCTGGCCCACAACCCAGGCATGTGCTCTGACTGGGAATCAAACTGCGACGTTTTGGTTCACAGGCCAGCACTCAATCCACTGAGCCACACCAGCCAGGGCTACTTTTTTAATAGACATTTTTAAAATCAAGTTTTCATAGACACACAGAAAAGTACACAGATAAGTGTTCAGATTAATGGCTTTTTATAAACTGAACACACCTACAGCACTGTCCCCAGATCAAGAAGTGGAAACCCACTCACATTTTCATTCTTAAGGTTCTTGTGTTTGTTTTTGCCAGTATGAACCTCTGGTTAGAAGTCTCTTATTACTACTGACCTGTTGTAATATTTGTCCCATGCAACTCTGTCACGGCAGTATTTGAGGATCCCTCAGTTGATGGGTAGTTAGCAGTCAGCTAATGAATGAGTTAGACACCGATAAGCCCTGTTTTCAGATGATCCAGCATGTCACAGGGGGCTTTCAGATGCCCCTGTGAAAGAAGAAGCAGTAACTCCTGAGAGGGCTTAAGAGCAGAAGAGTCAGGGAGTTTCACAGCTCATCTCCCAAGTGGGGCTCAGGGAGGCTGAAGAGGTTGCCCACAGCCTCCCAGTAAGGAAGCAAGCAGCTACACACTCACACCAGCTACGTGCTGCTACCGGAGAAGTCTCCATTGAGCTGGATCCTCACCAGGAAGGAAGCCGTTGGCAGGACGGCCTGCACAGGGCCCGTGAGGTCACTGCCGATGGTCACCACTCATACACGCTGCCACTAGCTCTAGGGTGTGGGACCCTGTACCCCAGATGCCCTTCCTCCCCCATGTGCTCTCAAGTGGGTCCCTGGCAGGGACAACCCTGTTCGCCCACCGGGGCATGCTGGGAAAGCCGCTGGATAAAGTAAACCCCGCCTGTGGCCAGATGGTGGCGTGAGCGAGGACCCCACTCCGCACAGTCTCTGTTCTCCTCAGACGACAAAGACCTAGGTACTGAGCCAGCTGTGCCACTTACCAAGCCAGTCACCACACCGCAGGCAGGTTCTGACCGTAACCCTCTCCCAGACTTGCCCTGTTCGGCCCTATTGCGGCAGATAGGAGAACCTTGGCAAATGGCGTCACACTCCTTAATGACCATGTTTGTCCAGCAGCTTCTGTGGGCTGCTGGTTCAGGGCTAAGTGCCGCACACGTATCTCCTTTATTCCCCTTCGTAGCTCCTGGGAAAGGCGCTTCTGTCATCCCCGCTCTCCAGATAAAGGATCTGAGGCTCGCAGAAGCAAAATAGCTGCTCGGGTCACACCACCACTTAAATGATGGGGCCCGTGTTCAAAGTAGGGAGAGTGTGTCTAAGCCGCACCGCCCGGCTGCTGGTTGTGACCCGCCTGTCATTCAGTAGGTGCAGACTGAGTCTGCAGTGTGTCAGGCGTTGTTGCAGGTGCTGGGGAGACGGCTGTGAGCTAACAGGTGAAGCCTGCACCCTCCCAGAGCTGACGGTTCCTGACCAGAATCCTTTGAGGAAGAATTATCTTAAAAATTCGTATTTCAGGAACTTTTAGAGAAAAGCCTTAAAAATTAAAAATTCTGCTCCTAGCTTCCTCTTCATCTTTGAAGCGCTCCAAAGCCCTCCAAGTCCCACCTTAGGGAGGTGGTAGCTGAGAGCCAGGCATACCTGAGCCTCTGTGTAGCCCTTGCCCTGTGAAGAAGGAACTCACTTAGTAGTCCTGTCCCTTAAGGACCCCGCCTCGTCCTCCACCGCCCAGCCCTCACGCCCCGCAGTCTCTCGCCGTCTCTGTGCCAGCCTCACCAGTCAGGGATGGCAGGTGTGGGCCCGGCAGCGCTCATGCTGCAGGACCCAATCTCAGTCCTGGCACACCTTGTCGGGGCCAGCTGACAGCACTCACGCCAGCCTGACAAGGGGTGGGGGGACGGGCACCCCGCTCCCCTGGCCGTGCTACCCCCACGTGGCCTTGTGTCTGGTGTTCTCGACATCACACACAAAGGGACCGGGTGCCACTGCTGGCGCTCAGCTGCTGGAGTGGGGAGGGCCGGCCGTGGTGAAAAGCTTTTCTGAAAGGCCAGGGTGGAGGCAAGAGTCACCCAGGTGATCCAAGCTGGTCCCCAGGGACCCCAGCCCAGGACCACAGTGAAAGGTTACTGCTAATTGGCGAGCTCCTGATGGGGCCGCATCTATTTAGCACTCCCCCCTCCCCAGAGACTTCCAGGATGGTCTTGGCACAGCGTGTGATTTGAGAGCTCCCGCCTGAGTCTGGCACAATCTGTCTGAAATTGTGAGCATGGAGCCTCTTGGTTTTTTAATTTGTATTTTTGTTGTTGTCATCCCCTGCCCATTGTTTCCAGTAGGTTTGGTAGCAGCAGCCACCCTGACCCTGGTACCCCTCCCTGGGGCCCCCTCTGCGGGCTCCTTCCCCCCACCCCTCCCCCCACCTACCATCAGAGGCCTTGCTGGAGTCAGAGAAAAGCGCTGTCCTGCCCCGACCCACCTCTCGGCCTCAGGGCCCAACTCTCACCCCGCCGTCATCCCTGACACTAACACAGCTTTCCACCCTGTCACAGGGGGCAGATGGCCTGTCGGAGCCGGAGGGCATCTCTCTGAAGCGGGTCGCTGTGGTGGAAGATTTCTTTGACATCATCTACTCGATGCATGTGGAGAGCTCAGCGGAGCCAGGCAAAGCCCCCAAGCACGCTGGGCAGAAGAAAACCTACCGAGCGGTGAGATTTCTGTCCCTTTGCCTCTGCTGGCAGCCCCAGGCCTTGGCAGGAGGCCATGGGCTCTGCACATGTTGGGCGGGGGCGGGGCAGGGAGCTGAGGCGTGATGAAACGGCCTTTGGGGACCCAGGGGGGCACAGGGCAAGGGCATGGCAGCCAGAGATGGCCCACAGGGCCCGGGGGCGGGTTCTGTGGTCTGAGCACAAAGGAGAAGCAGGTTGAAGGGAGTCGGGGGGAGGGGGGGGGCAGGAGGGAAGCCCTTCTCTCCCCGTTTCTGCTTCACTCATTTCCTCCCCAGCCCCTGCAGCTTGCACTGGGGCCGTGGGGGGTGGGGGGTGGCTAGATTATAGTAATCGCAAGGGCAAATGCTTCCATGGCATTTGCTGTGTGCCAGGCCTGTCCTGAATGCTTTCTGTGTGTGAGTTTTTTGATGCCCTACCACCCTGTGAAGTCAGAACTGGGAGTTCCCCAGGGGAAGTCTGAGGACCTGGTTCCCAGCCTCAAAGAAACCAGTTTGATTTGGGGTGGGGAGTTCTGAGAACAAAACCAGCACACAAAAAAATGAATGTCTCTAAGACGAGCTTTGAGGGAACGAGAACCTGGGGACCTGGCCTGGGCGTTCAGCAGCTCAGGGGGTTTCATGGAGAAGGGGGCATGTAAGCCAGCATTCTCAGCTTTGGGGAGGCAGAGGGTGCAGAGATGGCCGGGCTGCTGCATGGGGCGGTGGAGAGGATGGTGGCCGGAGCCTGAGGGGCCTGACTGCGCTCTGGTCCCATCACCCTCTTGACCCCCTCACCGCAGCCCACGCATAGCGCTGAATCGTCTGTCCGGCGCCCACCGCTAAACCAGGACAGCCAAGTGCTTTGTGCTCATGTGAGCCTGAGCCGTCCTGTGACAGATGCTGGTCCCACTTCACAGCTAAGGAAACTGAGACCCAAAGAGTCGAGTTTTGTTTAAGGTCACGCAGCACCTGAGTGGCAGTCAGCTGGCGTCCTCATGCCCCCTCTGTGTTGACTTCTTCTCTGCCTTCCTGGAGGACCTTCCTCTCTGTGACTGGGCTTCCCCGCCCCAAATTCCCTGTTCAGATAGCCTTGCGCTGCAGTGGAGGTGGCCTGTATAAGCCCGTAGTTTCTACCTATGGCCAGATTTTTTGACAAAAATCCAACAGTTTGGTGTGTCCTTGTCCTCAGAAGATGGCCTTTGACCTAAGTGCGCCTTAAGGGCAGACCCTTGTGCCAGGGACGTCAGAGAGACAAGGGGTCAGCCAAGGGAAGCAGATGAGGAGACCGTCTGGCCGCCCCTCCTGCCTCTGAGTACACTCGGGAGACGACGTGTGGGGAGGGAGCCCTGGGGGTACTTCTGCCAGGGGGACGTGAGCGGAGGCGGGCCACCCAGGCTGGGCCAGTGTGGGCCCTTTGGGATCGATGAGACCCAGCACGTCTGTTCCACGCTAAGTTTGCCAGTGCTGGGCAGGTAGCATGCGCCAGGCCGTGCTCAGTGCTTCCCATGCGCCAGCTCTCTGGGCCTTTGCACGTACGAAGGTTGTATGGATGAGCAGGTGCTGGTATCCTCATTTTTCTATAAAAGGAAAATGGAGCTCAGAGAGATGTATAATCTGCCTGAGGTCACCCAGCTGACATGCAGAGCCAGGCAGCTGGCCCCAGAGCTTGCACCCTGACCACGACATCGCCTGCCTTTCTACGCACCCCCCCACCATGGCCAGCTAATCAGGCCAATGACTTGCTCTGTTGTCCAGGTAGATGGGCCTGAGCCAGCCAGACCATGCGATCTTCCTGGTCCCTTTGGTGCCCAGCACCAAACCTCACCTGCAGGCGCTCCCTGGGTGTTTATGAAGGCCCAGGGCTGTGGCCTCCATGTGGTAGAGAGGGCAGAGCCAGGCTGGTCCTGGCAGCATTTTGTGTCCCTGGGCCAAGTGGACATCTAGCCCTTTGCTCTGCATTTCCTGGCTTCTTGTCCATATGCCCGCCGCGTGCCCCACTTCCCGCTGCCCAGCCTGGAGCTGGCACATGACTGGCGGCGAGCCAGCTGGGCTGTGCACAGAGCTGGAATTTCAGCAGCAGGGCCAAGACAGAGCGGAGCAGGCCAGGGCCCTCCTGCAGTGGGTGTGAGGCCAAGGGGGCCGCTGCACCTCCCTCCTCTCCTGTGCGCCTCCTCTCCCTTCCCCCTTTCTCCATCTGTCAGCCTTCTCCACGCCACCCTTTTCCTTTCTGGGGGGTGGTACCTGGATGTTTTCGTCTCCCTCTTTACATCTGCTGCCATGTCCTCAGTCCAAGCCTGGCGCTTTAGCCTCCCTGGTAGACGTGCCCCACCTCACCCGGGCCTGTGGAGCGGGAGCTCCCTAGGAAACTGTGCTGACCGCTGCAGGAAGGCCCAGCCGGGCACCACAGGGTTTGCATCGGCTCAGCTGAGGGCCTTGGGGACCTGTCTCTCTGTGTTTGGCTAGGCCCGAACCCTGGGACTGCCTCATCACCTCCAGGGCCCCTGGGGCTTTCAGCTCCTTACCAGCCGGGGTGCCTGCAGGAAGCAGGGGGCTGGACAGGAGATGGATGAACTTGCCCAGGGCAGTAAAGGAGGCACATTCTTCAGTGGGAAAAAGAACTTTCTAGCATCTGCTGCTGTGCAGCAGTGGATCAGGATCAGGTAGTGAGCTTCCTGAAGCTGGAGCTATACGAGCAAAAGGCAGATGGCCATTTACAGTGGCTGGTGCAGGGGAGTCCCACTTCGCATAGGGAGCCCCCGCCCTACTTTTTGCCTCTGTTGCAGGGTGACCTGAGGGCCAGAGAGTTCCAGGAGGTCTCGCCAATGCCGGGGTCTGGGAAGGGTTCCAAGTGGTTCTTGGAAGTTCCCAGAACCTACACTGAGGACGGGTCCTTTTTCAAGGGGATTTTCTGGTGTCTGCACCCATCGGAGTCAGAGGGAGCCGTTTGCTCCCTCCCTCACTCCCAGGGTGCTGCGGGTGAGATCGGGTTCCGGAGCCCGGATCCGGATGCCCAGACCACTTTGGAGTTGGGGCCAGATGTGGTCAGCAGCTACGCGAGGCCCACCACGTGCTAATCCACCCACAGGGCAGAAGGAGGATCTTGTAAAGTGGTGCAAATCCCCCCAATTGGCCTCATCTGTCTTTGTCGGCCTCTGAGTTGGGGAGCGAAGTGGAGCCTCACAAGTCAGCGACTCTGCAAATAGCTTCTGCTCTTCCTGCCAGCAAAATCTCTCCCTGTCTGTCCCAGTAGGAAAACACGAAAGGTGAATTCACGGATGGGTCCCAGGGCCCGGGCAGGAGGCCGCCCAGGGCAGCGGGGGGCAGCTAGGTGCCAATGGGTCCTGGAGCTTCCCCTTGGTAAACACAGCCACTCTTTCTTTATCTGTTTCGTGTTTTGGGCTTCAGCATAGGAGTCTATTTCCAGAACGGTGCCTGTAGCTCTAAAAGTGTCAGAAAACCACCATCCCACGAACTAGAGCATCCGCTGGAATTGTCCTTCTCAGTTCAGCTCAGCCTGTGGCCCCATGGCCTTGGGCGCTGTGCAGTCCAGTGGAAGGTCCATCTCTCATGCGGACGGGCCAGGAGGGTAAACCAAAAGATGCCCGCCAAAGGTTGCAAGCCCAGTGAGAGAGGCCTCCACTCCACGCGTGTCCCTGTGGCAGCGCAGTGCTGGCTGGTGCCCCGCAGAGCTCTCAGCGAGGCTGCAGACAGTCCGGCCACGCAGGGCACAGCTTCCCTCCCTGGCCTTTGTACAGCTCCCGGGACCTCTCACCTATCTGCCTGTGGTCAGCCCCTCCCATCCCACTGTAGAGCTCACCAGGCCACAAGGGCATGCACCCAGCACTTCCCCTGTGTACGTGTGGTATTCTAGCCAGCCCTTGTGAGGCCAGGAGACTGGGGCCACAGTTCTGGGCCCTGGTCACTGCTCTCTCTGGGAACGATTCCTGTACCCTCAGTGGACCAGTGAGCAGTCCCCAGCTGAACAGCCAGGCCAGGAAGGCCCTCCCTGAGCTCTATAAAAATGGCTTCTCTGCCCAGTGGCAGGTGAGCTCCATGTAGAGAAGTAGGTCTATCCCTATGGTGTGAACCCCCCCTTCCTTCTCCCAGTGACCCCCTCCCCAAGTCCTCTGCTCAGCAGTTCTGAGGCTGGACCTGGAACGCCATGCCTCGCGGCACCTGTGAGGTCATCTGTTGGCCCCAGTGAGCCATAGCCCTTCCTTTGCCCAGCAGACATGCTCTCTCTTGCCCGTTTACTCCTACAGCCATTAGCCCTTCCACAAGGCCCATCCCTCCCCACCCTGCAGGCCCGAGAGGGTGTTCTTCCCCTAAGTCTTCCAGGAAGCTCCACGCTGGGATGAAGATATGCATGTGGGTGGCAGGAAAGCCCTCAGCCCTCAGCCCTTATGGCCGAGGAGGACTGGTACATCGCTACCCATCACCTTCCCACCCACTGGTTCTAGTTAGAGACCAGGGTTTTGCCCCCGTCCTTGATGGCCAAAGGAAGGCAGGGAATTTGGAAGGGAGATAACTCATCAAGGAGCCTGCCTGCTCCGCAAAGCATCGAATCAGCTGAGAAGTAACAACTGTGTCACCAAAATTAACCATGACTGCAGCAGGCTGTTGGGCAGGAGTGGCCCCTTAGAGCTCCCCAGGCCCATTGAGCAGAGAGTGCTGCTTGAGCTGGTCCTCTGGGGGCCTGGCGCCTGCGGTGCCCCAAGCCTCCTATTTCCCCATCCCAATCCCGCCCACTCCGCCCTACCCTACCCAGCCCCCTGGCCACCACAGAGGTGGAGCACGGCGCCTGTGCATCCCTAAGGAGCCACTGGGCCAACTTTCCCAGCTGGGCTGCGGCGGGGACTATGGAATGCTGGGGTGATGCTGCCCCTTAGTGGAGAGGAGTGGGAGGGCCCGGGCTCTGGGAAAGGCGCAAAAACCAGCCGCTGGGCAGCTATTGGCCTCAGCCAGGGATCCTGGGCCTAAGGAGTCCCTCTGGGCCCCTCAGGCAGCCAAACCAGGGCCAGTGGAGTCCTCAAAAGCCAGAGCAAGAGGGAAGGGCTGGGCTTCAGGACCCAGTCCCCATCTTCCCCACTCCCTCACCCAGCCTCTTTCTTGTGTTCCCTGGCATGCCCCCTTTCTCTTCTCCCTAGCTCTGGAGCAGGTATGGGGTGGCGTGACCTGGAACATGGGCTTTAGTCTGGCACGGCCTCTGGAGAGCTGTGTGACCTTGGGCGAACGCGTTCACCTCTCTGGGCCTCGTGACCTAACCAGGAACACAGGGGTCCTAAGAGCCTGTCCGGTTTGAAAAATCTGATCCCTTGGCATCAGCCATTCACTTCTCTCCCTAAAAGCGTTCTTGATCTCTGAATTATCTCAGGAAACAGTTCGTAGAGCCTTGGTTCTGTCTCCAGACCCAGAGCCTATGGATATACAAGTGGGTCTCAGTTCATCCGTCTCCAGGAGGGAAAGTTGTTTCATCCTTCCGCAGAGCAGTAGTTATAAGCTCGTTTTTCAGGAACAGCAAGGAAATGTTCTGAGAGGAATATTACTTATTAGAATATAGGTTAAAGACTAAATAATGTTTAAATGCTTTGTTGTTTTAATTTTTAAGCTCCTTTAATCAAAGTTTTTAAAACAAATGGTTTTCTGCAAAAGTACTGCCTCATCTCTGTGGCTGAGAATCCAAGCCACCTGCCCCTTGCTTCTCAAATCCCTGCCCTTCCTGGCAAAGGCCAAGTGCCCACCACCAACGCGCAGCCCCGGTGACCCAGTGACTAAGCCGCCCCTCCACCACGGAGCTGTGTGACGAGCACCCTCCTCTCCCCCTCAGATTGCAGAGACCTACGCCTTCCTTCCCCGAGAGGCTGTGACCCGGTTCCTGATGAGCTGCACGGAGTGTCAGAAGAGGATGCACTTTAACTCCAACGGCCTGGAGCCCAAAGGTAGGGGGGGAGGTGGGCGCGCTGGAGGCTTGCAGGGGGAAGCTGTGCAGGGAGAGGCTCTCCCACCAGAAGGGCCTGCCCTTTGCAGGCGCAGGCAGAGAAGTGCGTGACCAGCTATTGTCTCGGGTCCCAGAGGCCAGTGTGGGTCCATGGGGCTGCCCAGAGAGCCTTGTTTTGTTTTGTTTTTAAGCCAACAGTACATTCCTACTGCACTGCAAGGCCCAGGCCACATCCTCTCCTCCCACTGAGGTTCTGGAGAGAAATGTCCCCCTTGCCCCATTCCCTACGCTCTGGAGTCCTCACCACCCAGGTCTCGCCCTCAGCGGTGTTCCCGAGGGTTTGGTCTTGCTGAGCCCTAACGCAGGCTCTTGTAGGACAGGAGGGCAGGAGCACAGCCCTTGAAGTGTGGCCACATACCTGCCAGTAGTGGGTCCTTCCTAAGGGTGTGTCCCTCTGCACAAATCGGAAATCTGGGGGGACGGGAGTAAGGATTTAAAATGCCCAGAGCACTGGTGACCAGCCGAAGTTGGCCCCTCGGACCAACATCCATGCTCTCCAGCCCTGCCCTTCACAGCGAGAGGCAGCGAAGGCCCCCCGCTTCAGTCCCCCTACACCTGGAAGCTGAACGGCCCAGAGGCGGTGTCCAGTAAACATCGGCCGTCTGTTCACAGGCGGCTTTGGCTCAGTCAGCTGGGCCGGCGCCTTTGCCTGGGGTGATGTAACTCTGTCCTGAGAAATGGTGCCCCCGTGGGCGACTTGTCGGGGCTTCTGGGCTGCTCCTGGGCGTCAGGCCTGCAAGGGTTGCTGAAGTCCATGGACATGTTGCCTGAGGATGGAAACCGGCTCGGAATGAAGGGTGAGCCTTGCACTCAGGTGGCAGCCTCCACACCTGGGGAAGGGAAAACCAGCAGCGAAGCCCGAGTGGGCGGCCTCGGAGCAACTGGGGCGCGGGAGCAGGGCGCGGTTTCCACTCATTTGGGTTGTCCCCGGTGCCCGTGAGCACCTTCGACACCAGCCACCTCATCAGATCCAGAGGCTTTCCTGCCTGTGGGGGCCATTAGGCCTCAGCTGCTTCATCAGGTACATCAGAGAGTTTCTAAAGCTCGAGGGACGGAACAGATCTAGTTATTCCCTCAAGTGCTGGATTCCTGGTTTAAGACCAGGGTCTCTAGGGCCCCCTGGATGAGTTCAGACCCCAGCTCTGCAGCGCAGTGGCTGTGCATCCTGAACGAGTGACTCGTGTCTCGGAGTCTGTCTCCTCCTCTGTGAGCTGGGGTTAACAGCGGTAGCTGCTACCTCTGGGGCTGATGAGGTGTGAGAGTCAGTCCCTGTACCTGGCACAGGGCAACCAAGCAGGAGGGGTGACCGGTGGCTGTGGCAGTTATTGAGGGAACGCTGGATGCTAGAATGAGGCTCCTGCCCCTTGTGGCCTGGCCCTGGCTGGCCGGCTGCAACCCCTGGGCCAAGACAGCATTTGTTACCCACAGATGGGCCAGGAGTGCTTTCCCTGCTACATTCCCCACCGTGCCTGGATCTGGGTCCCAGGGGTGCCCACCCATCCACCTTTCCCCTCCTGTTCTGGCCTAATCGTTTCCATAGCAACTGGGGTAGTCAGACACAGAATCTGTTCGCCTGGGAGAACAGAGGCAAGGCCAGGGAGGACCGTGTTTGTGGGCTGCTCTGGGGTGTCTGCAGGCTCCATCTCTGCTGCTCCCTTGCTCCCTGCTGGCGTGGAGGAAGCACTCACCTCCCCCACTCCTCAGGGAGGTCTACGGGGGCTCCAGGGCCGCAGTGCCACTCTTCCTCATTGCACGCTTCTGTGTGGCCAGGAGGGCGATGCCAGCACAGCAGCAGCCTGTTTCTCTCCTGTTTCTTCTTCTTGCTGCCACCACCCCAGGGTAGGAGGAGGGAGGGGGAAGACGGGAGGGAGAGGGAGAGGGAGAGAGCACAGCCTGGAAGGAGCCGCCTAGAATATAAACCAGCTCTGTGGGCTCTGGGCTGGAGCCTCTCTTTCCAACGGGCTCGCTCCAGGCAGGACAGAGGGCAAACAGTGGGAGCCCGTGCCTTGCCCACCCTTGCGTGTCCTTGGGTGGAATGCCACTTCTTTGTCCTCAGGAGCTGAGCTTTCCATGCAAGGAGTGGGGGAGACACTGAGGGAGCAGGAGACAGCGTGGCCCCTGGAAGCTCAGGCAGGGCTGGGCGTGCCACCCCGTTCCCGGCTGCATGTCCCTCAGCGCGTCAGAGGACCGCTCTGAACCTTGCCTGCTCACAACAGCTCTCTTGAGCCTGTGAGGTGTCTGTCCTGGTTTACAGCTGAGGAAATGAGGCACAGAGGGGTGTTATGGTGAAACTGCTTGTGCAAGTTCCCCAGAAGGCAATAGAATTTATGTTCTCATCAGTAAAATGGGAATAACAGCTTCTTCTGGGGGCTGTTGTGAGGATGCATTTGGATAAGCAACCATGTTCTGTAGGGCGCCTTGGTGCAACAGGAGCACGAGCCCGTACCCCGTGTGGTTACACATAGAGCCCAGACACAAGGCTGCCCATGTCCAGGGGGTCCCACGGGGAGACACACAGTCACCCCACCCAGGTGAGCACCCCAGGTCCACAACCCGGACGCTGGGCAAAGGGAAGAGCTGCCCGTGGAGAGCCTTAGAATCTGAAAGGCTTGCCTGTCTGCTTAATGGCCAGAGGCTCTGGCCGCCTGGACCACCCTCGCCAGCTGGCAGGTTCTCCCTTCTGCCCCAGCTGAGAGCCTGGAGACCCTATCTCCGCCGACCATGCTGCCTCTCTGGATGCGGTCAGCTGCACCTACCCCTCTTTCACCGGCACCCCTGCCATGCCAGCCCTCCCTGCTCCCTGTCCCACAGCCCCCCCCCAGCCCCGCCCCACCCACAGGAAAATCAGAGCCTGCCTCTGGCCTCAGAGGCAGGCCCTGTGTTCCTGTCCCAGGAAGGTGGGGCAGGAGGGGGACAGGGAACAGGATGGAGACTTCTCGAGGGGCTTCTGGGAGAGCGCCTCCCTTCCTGGCCGAGTGTTAGAAAGAAAGAAAGGAAGCGAAGCAGCCTCCCCTGCTCAGCGGTTTGTCCCCGGCAGAGTGTGGGGCCCTGGACAGTCCCAGGCCCTCCCCCAGCGCCGGGAGCACAAACAAAGGAGGCTGCTGAGGATCAGGAAGTCCGAGGATGGGAAATTCCAGGGCCTCCCGCCTCCACGCTCTTCTTCTACCAGACCCCGAGCCAGTCCAGGCGGAGAAGAGACAGAAAATTAAAAAACCGGTGGGTCTGCAGCCCAGCCCTGGCCCCTGGGGAGAGGGGCCTCCGGAGGCATGTTTCTGTTTTCTCTGATGTGACAAAATATCGTTTGTCCGGCTGCAGACTAGGAGTTAGCAGTGGGCAGTGCCGGTTACCTGTAGGAGGATTTCTTCCTCCACGGCAGAGTCGTCCGCCCAGGTGGAGGCTGCTTTGCAATCAGGCCCACACGCCTCTGTGTGGTTTGCAGCCCCCTCATGCCTGACTCCTCCGGATCCCCCTCTTCCAGCCTGTTCCTTTGCCCCCACACGGGCTTCGTGCTGGCTGGCCTGGGGGCCTGTCCCCCCGCGGCTCTTATCCTCACTGCCTGGGTGGCGTGTGAGGCTGCCTCGCCTCTCTGCATGCTGTCGAATCTTCTGTAGGAGGGGAGGTTGATACTGGCGCCCACCACAGGGAACTCCTGGAAGCACGAAGCAGAAGGGTCTGAGTGGAGCTCCTGGCGAGCGCTCGGTAGCTGTCAGCTGAGTGATTGGGCACAAGTCCTGCTCAGACCCTCGCTCCACAGGGCCGCCTGGAGTTCCTCCTCCTCTGAGCTCCACTAGACTCGCCAGCAGTCCCACCTTGCTGAGCACGGGGACCGCACCTACGGGGCTCCCCCACCTTCCCCACCCTGAATGCACACATGTCGGTGCTCCCTGAAGACTCGCTGATCTGCCGACTTACTTCCCTCCCAAAGAGGTTGTTTTCGTCACCATCTGAGTTGGCCCCAGGCCCCGATCTCCGTGTCCAAATCTGAGACCCAGGACAGGCCGGCTGGTCTCAGGGCTCCTCTGTGCCAGGCCTTCGTCTCACGCACGTCCTTCACCCGCCGGCTCTGCCTGGGCCAGCTCTTGCTGCTGGCATGCAGCACCGAGGGGCTCCTCCATTCTGCAGGTGAAGCTCGTGAGAATCGCCACCTCACGTTCCATCTGGAGGAATGAAGGCCACTACTTCCGCTGAAACTTGCACTGATTAATGAATGGCATTGCAGCCCAGCTGTGGAGGTCAGCCCTCAGCCCAGCCTGTGTGGCTTGGCCCCGGTAAACCCTCTGCGTCACTGATTATTTTCAAGGTCTGTAAAACTAGGCCTTGCGCTTGGGCTTGATTCAATTTTCCTTGGCAAAGAGGCGCTGAAACATTTCTTTGGGTGGCTCCTCTGCCACTCTCACCAGCAGCCTGCCTGAGTATTTCAGCTCCGTGACCGTTGCCAGCGCCTACCTCAGCAGAGGTGTCGGGTTAGTTGTGGTGGCTCGAGCGCGGCCACCGCGTGTGCTGACCGCAGCAGGGGCCTGCCCTCCCAGCGAAGCCCAGGGAAGCCACTGCTCCTGGTTCGCACGTCCATCTTAGCGCCTCCCCAGCCTGACTCCACACGGAGCTGCCACTGGTCCTGCTCCTTATCTCTTTCCCACTAAGCCGATCCTCTCCTTGTGCAGCGATTATCACCTCCGGAGTTGCAGGGCTCCCCACCACCAGAAAAACCCACCTGCCTTTCTCTCTGGGCCGAGTTCTGACCCCCCACAGCCAGCTCTCTGGCAGGTTCCCTCACCTGGAATGTCCCCTGCCCACCAAGGTCCTGCCTCCCCAGCAGAAGTCTCACTTCGGGAACTGCTGATGCGAGCACTTTGCAGCACGCTGACCCCGTGTGTGTGTGTGTGTGTGTGTGTGTGTGTGTGTGTGTACATGCACGCACGTGCGTCAGGATGTCCCAGCTTTCCCAGACAAGGGCTCCTGCCTCTGCTTCCTGAGCCCTGCTGGCTCACCTCCAGGCACCAGGAGCAGCTTCTGACCTGTGCACACGCTGCGGAGGGAACAGGACAAGGAAGACCCCTTCTCCCGCCTCCCAAGAGTGCCATCTCAGCCATTTTTGTTGTTGTCGTCCTAAACCAAGCCCTACTTGGCTTTATTAAAGAGACTTCCTTTAGTGGCTGTGGCATTTCAGGCAGGACATGGGGGACCCTCAGTACAAGGACCTAGCACCCGGCTTTCGTGGACGACCCCACACTGAGTTGCCAGGACATCCGGGAAGTCTTCACTTGTGGCTCTGGCCGGGAACCCTTGGGTGAGGGGGGAACCTTCTCACACGCCATGTCGCCTGACAGCTTTTCCCCAGAAACCCCACCTTTGAGGAAATGAAATGGAAACGGCAGAAATCTCCGTCTGAAGACCCGTGATCTGAAAACAGGAACCGTGGCTTTTTTGAGCAGCACCATCTCGCTGTCTTTGCTGCCGTGTCTGCCTCACATGTGGCACCCAACCCCGTCGATTTGGGGGGGCCAGGTCCCAGCATGCACCTGGGCTTAAGGAGGTCAAGTCTGGGTGGACGGAGGGGCAGCAAGAAGAGTTCTCGAGGACACTGGAACACACTTTAGCTTCTCCACAGCATTGGGTGTCTGTGTGTTTGTGTCAGAGAACCCTTCTGCCACCAAAGCAAGAGGGATTCTTAGAAGAAAAAAAAAAAGTTTGGTCCATTTCAAGCCGGTTTGTGAGACATTCTATGTTAGTGACATTTACCTCTTCCTCAAGAACAGAAATCTTCCTAAAAGAACACAAAAGTTTTGTGTGACAGCACTGCTTTAAAAAGCTAAACAAAGTCTGCGTTTTTATGAATTTGATAAGAAATGTTATGTAGGCCGGGCAGTCACCAGGTGCGTGCCGCCTGCGAATGGCACCTCGAGCCCCCAGGCCCGTCTGTGAGGCCCCATTCCCTGCGGGGCTGCTGCTCCCCTTGCCGAGTGTGGCCTCCCCTTCGCCCCTCGAGGTGGCTCGCTCCCTCGTTTGCAGGGGGCTTTTTTTCCTTGTTCTGGTAAAATACTTATAATGTAAAACTTGCCAATTTAATAATTTTAGGTGGCCCTGGCTGGTGCAGCTCAGTGGTTTGAATGCAGACCTGCAAACCAAAGGGTCACAGGTTCGATTCCCAGTCAGGGCACATGCCTGGGTTGCCAGCCAGGCTCCCAGTGGGGGGCGCACAAGAGGCAACCACACATTGATGTTTCTCTCCCACTCTTTCTCCTTCCCCTCTCTCTAAAAAAATAAATAAATAAATAAAAATCTTAAAAAAAATAATTTTAGGTGGACAGGTTAGTGGTTTTGTATTCATGTCGTTGAGCAGCCATCACCACCGTCTATGTCCAAAACCTTTCCGTCACCCCAAACAGAAACCACGTGCCCAGGAAGCGACTCCCAGCCCCACTCCCCATCCCTGACAACGCTACTCTGCCCTCTCCCACTGTGAGCAGGTCTGTTCCAGGTCTTCCACTACAGTGGAACCACACATTGTTCATCCTTCTGTGTCTGGCTTCTTTCACTCAGCATAGTGTTTTTGAGGCTGCAAGGGCCTTTCTGGCCTGGGCTCCAGCACTGGAGCCCCAGGTGGCAGCAGATCACCTCAGGTATCCTCTGCATTCCTCCCCCTGGGCCCTGTCCCCTTCCCCTTCAGCCTATCTCTTAGGCACGGCGGTGACAGTGGCAGGCAGGCTTCGGCTCATCTGGGAGTCGCTTACACATTCAAGTCCCAGCTCAGGACCTCGTGAACAGAACTAGGCACCGGGGAGAACTTTGGTTCCAAGGCCTGGAGCCGGGGAAGCAGGAGGAGGGGCCAGAGAACAGATAACCAAGGCCGTGCCCTCAGGGGGAGGGCAAAGCAGGGTCACGTGACTCCGTGACAAAGGAGCCAGGCCCCAGCAGGAGGCTCCAGGGTTCCAAGCATGGCCATAGCAGAAGACCCCCCAAAGGGGGAGTTGGACCCGGGAGAAGTGACAGGCTCTCTTTCAGCCGTGCTGCCTGTCTTCCTCGACTCACTCCGGTGCCCCGTCCGCCTGCGCTGCGCACCGCCCACAGTGGTGTTGGGTGCAGAACCATGGGCTGGGCAGTGTCCTTGCAGAAGGCAGCTTGGCCAGAGATCCTGAGAGTTACCGAATATTCCTGCCCTTCGACCCATGAATTCCATTTCTTGGAATCTGTTCTAAAAAGGAAATGATCAGGAATTTGGACGAATATCCACACACAAATATGTTCCTTGCAGTGTTGTTTATAATTGCCAACAATAGCAAACAACATAAACAGCCATTCATGAGGAAATGACTTTAGTAAACTGTGGTAAAACAGTACGTGGCTATAAAAACTATATTTGTAAAGCTGAACAAGATTTTTGGTGGTGAAGGAAATGCCTGTGACAAAATGTTAAGCCAAAAAAAATTTTTTTTAAAGCAGACTCCAATTTTCTGTGTGGTATTATGATATCAAGGACATAAAGAAGAGAAATCACAGGGAAAAAATAAACAGAAGCATATGCCAAGCTGCTTAGTGCAATTATGTTTTTTTTATTTTTCTTTACATCTTTCCACGCTTTGCAAATGCTCTACAAAAAGAACACACGTCACTTTGATCTTCAGGACAGCAAAGCAATAAATGGGAAGAACAATGTTCCATGTGATGAAGGGGAACCCGAATTTTGGTGGGGGGGCCCAGAGCTGTGAGCCACATGGTACCTGGGGGTGCTTTTGGGGGGATGCTGGGGGAGTGGGAGATGGGTGGGGCGGCGGCGGCATGTGTGCACCAGGAAGAAAGTTGCCGTGGGTCAGGGCTGGAAACATAAATGCCTTCAAGGGCCTGGCCAGTATCAGAACTGAGTGAAGGTGTACAGAACGATAGGGAGTGGTGGGGACTATAGCAAAACGGAGAGCTCGCACCCTGTCTGAAAGAAGGGGCCGCTGCACAGAGTGGCAGTGGTCGTTCGCCATGTGGGATGACGGGCCCTGTGTGGCCAGACCTCCCGCCCTTCAAATGTGAACTCCTTGTTAAACACGGGCACCTGACTGAAACATACGTTCAGTGCCGTGTAGTCCACATCTATGGGCCAGAAATGGTGGGCGAGCTGCCCGTGTGTGACCTCTGGCCCGTCCTTTCCTCCTCACAGGCTCTGGCGAGTTCTCCATGTAGGCGACAGGGTGTGCCACCCTGCTGGTGGCCCGCAGCACACACTGAAAGGGGTTCCTTTTGTTCTTTCTGCCAGAAAACGAGCCTCCCTCTCCTCTGGTCTCCGGGATTATTGATTACAACATGCCCCTCACCTCCACGTACCTGAAGCAGATGAAGTTGCGTGTGATGAATTCCCAGGAGCAGGTAAGGCATCTGTCCCCCCTCACCCCACCTGGAGGTGTCCTAACTTGCCTGGATGTGGTTGATCCTTCCCAAGATGTGGGGCCACAGCCTGTGTAAACATGAAATCAAAGAGGCCCTTATCTGGTTATCTGGGCCGCTCAGTCCCGGCTGAGAGGGGAGGGAAAGAATGTGTTTCTAGTTAAAGGGTCTGCTGGGCAGACAGCCCTGCTGGGTCTTCAGTGAAACCCAGGGAGCTCAGGCTTCACAAAACTTTCCCCAAGGGCAGGGACCAGGGAGGGGGAGGGTAAGAGCCACAGACCTTGGCTCCTGGGTGGTTCCGTCTCTGCTCTGCCCTTTGTCTGCTACATCACTCACCTCCTTTCCCCAGGGAGAGGAAAGAGGAGGGGCCCTGGCTGCCAGCCTTGGCCTCTGTCACTCCTGGGGCCCAGACAGGCCAGGAGGATGGGTGTTGGCGGGTGGCCCGCGTAAGATAAGGCCCCTGGCTGTCCAAGACTCCCCAGCTGGGGATTGCCAAGGGTTGTCAGGCACCGTGGAAACAGGCTATTAAAAGAAAACCACTCTGCCTGCCTCCCCACAGTCCACCCTCTAGCCCTTTGCAAAGCAAGTAGCCTGACTGTCTTTCAAAGGAGGTCGAGTGAGTGCCACCTCCTTCCTCCACCGCTGCCTGAAACCAGGGCGGCAGCCCCTCACTTCCGGCTCCGAGTGACCTCCTTGGTTGTGACCGCCGAGCCCACTGCGTCTTCGTGGCCTGACCAGGGGAATGGGTTCTTTCCCTGAAAGTCTGGCTTCTAGTCCTGGGTGCGTGCTGTCTCACTTACCGCTGGTCTCCTCGACGACCCGAGCACGTGTTGTCCCGGGAGCGGGGGATGGTGAGGGGGCTATGGCTCCAAGCCAGCTCCAAGGTGATGTAGCAGGGTGTGTTCAGGTAGCGTCTGGGGCTGTGGCGCCCAGTTCCACGGTTTGAGCTGGTTGGCTTGAACGCACGAAGTTTACACTCCCCTAAGGAGGAGGGACGGTTGGCCCACCATGACCAGCCCCTAAAGGTTGCATGAAGTAAGTTTTGCTCTGGGTGGCAGAGCTTTCTGCGTCTCTGTGTCTCTGGCATTTGCTCTCCTGAGAGTGTCTGTTCTGTGATGGTTGCGTCCCTAAGAAACTTCAAGTAATCAAAGATGACATGGCAAAGCTGTTTCTGTGCTGGCACGTGAGCCGGAAGGGTGGTAGTAGTTACAGAATCTCACCACCACCGAGCAGGCTCAGCATGAGAGCTCCTCTGGCTGCCACTGCGGAGGGGCTCCCAGCCTTCCCTGTCGCCATCCACACTGTCGCAGATGCCTGGCTTCTCACACGTTCTCATCACCATTCTGACCCGTCACTGTCACCATCATTGTCACTGTGAGGAGTGACACACAGAGCCGCTGGAGCAGGCCTTTGTTTCCTACAAAACAGCGTTAGATCCCAAGCCCACAGTGGTGGCACAGCCCACCTGCGGTCCCTCACTGACAGATCCTGTTATATCGCGTTTGGTTGTGCAGATCCTCGCTGTCTGTGGGGATCAGTGCTTGGTGTATTAGCGAGGATTCAGGCATCCAACAAATACGTACAGAGCCCCACTCGTGGGCTGGGGGCGAGCGAAGACAGCACAAAAGTACCCGCTCACAGCAGATAGCCACAAACAATCAAGGAAGAGGCTCGTCAGCCATCGCGGTGCTGTTGTGACAGATGCCACACAGTGGGACACGTGGTGCTGTGAGGGTCCATACGTGGATGTGGGTGGGGTGGATCGAGGCAGGGGTCAGGGAAGTTTGCCTCCGAAAGGGGTGTTTCAGCTGAGATCAAGACATGAAGGGAACAGAGCTCCAGGCTGAGGGAACAGCTTATGCGAGGACCCTGTGGCTCGAGGGAAGCAGCGCCCATGAGCATTTGAGAGGCTGCTGTGGCTGATGCAGAAACTGTGAGGACTTCTGCTGAACAAAGGGGGAAGCCCCATGTGAGGCACTTGATGGACAGCTGTGAATGAACTGGAGTTCAGGAGGTTTGGGCTCTACTCCCGAGGGGAGGGAGGACCGTGGGCAGGCATCTGTCTCCAGGGTGCTCTGCGAGTCCCGCTGGGGTTGAAGCCCAGACTGGGGTGGCCTCTGCTTACAGTGGAGTTGACTGTGTTTTCCCTGCCTTCACTGGTAGCTTCCCAGATGGGGGCGCTCTGAGAGGAGCCGACTTTCTCCTGTGCGGCAGGAGATCAAAGGGACAGACCCTCCCGGCACACCTGGCAGGAGAAGCAGCACCCTACCCCATACCTAGGGCCTTTCACCTGTCAGTCTGCTGCTCTCCATGCGCAGCAGTGAGCTCTCAGGGCCTCGGCTGCTCCCGCAGCACCGCCGTCCCTCTTTTGTAGCCAAGCACATGGCAAACCAAAAAATCACATTGCTCGCCAGATTATTTATCTGTAGCAGCCAGGAAGGGCCAAGGACCCAGAAGTCTTTGATTCTTCGGCTTGTAAAAATACATGTGTTTGAATTAGTTGCTTTTTTCCTATAGCACAGTCAGAGCAGGGCTCCCCTTGAGGTGGGTGGATGGCCCCCCATTCAAACACAGCCACGGGACTGGCTGCACTGCCGGCAAATCCCGTGTCCCAAGGCCAGGCTCTGAAAGTGGTTTCATTCCTTGCTCATTACTCTAACACCTGTAGTGCTTGCAAATCACTCACGCAGGCTGCATGGAAAATAGGCCAAATCTAAACGCACTGGGGCCAGGATAAATGATATTGTATTAATGTTGAACAAAGTGGGGTGGGTGCTCTTTCAGGCAGATGAAAAAAGAATCCCAGTAGTTCGTTTTTTTCCCAGCATTAGATATCCTAGAGACAAGAAGTAAAGCAAGGAGAACATTTCCCCTCACTTTGCTCTGAGCAGACAGCGAACAGGTGGTTGGGTTTATTTGTGAAACGGACAGAAGTGCATTGCTTGCCCTGGCCCCGTAGCTCAGTTGGTTAGAGCAGCATCTCCATATCCCAAAGTTGTGGGTTCAGTCCCTGGTCCAGGCACATAAAGGAATCAACCAATGAATGCATAAATAAGTGGAAAAGCAAACTGATATCTTTCTCTCTCTAAAATCAATCAATAAAATTTTTTAAAAAATTAAAAAAAAATCACATTACTTGTTACCCAGCAGGTCAGATTAAGCTGGGAGAGGAGTTCTTCTCCACGAGGGGGTTAGGTAAAATGAAAATCCAACAGCAACATTCACACGAAGAAGGAAGATTCTTCTTGAAGTCTGATTCATCTGGCAAAAATTCACAGTGCCCTCCAGGTGCAAGGCATTTTGGGACCAGATTCCGCCCTCACAGGCCCTCCCTCCTGAGACACAGACCCCAGGAGCTGCCACCACTGGGGGCCACGTGGAGCTGAAAATAGGAGAGTGTATCCTGATAAAATCTTTTTTTTTGTCCTTACTTGGGAAAACTCTCATAAAGATATAAAACTGAAATCACATCCAGTTGTACTGAGGACGGATACATTTTCTCGGAGGGGGCAGGGCAGGAAGCTTTCTGGAATGAGAACTGCCCCGCGCGCTCTCCCGGAGACAGACGAGGTTGGGGAGGGATGCGGGCGGGCGGACGTTGCTGGCGGGGCGGGGCGGCCCCCAGGCGCCCTCGCCCGCGGCCGATCTTCCAGAGCCCGTCAGGGGCCGTGTGCAGGGTACACCCAGAGGAATGCTGGGCTGGCGGCCACTGGTCGTGTTTTCTCTCTCATTTGGGTTTTTTCCATACTTAAAAAAAAATTTAATGACACAAGTAACACACAGCCTGGGTAGGAAAATCGGCAGCCAGAAAGCAAGAGCGCGGTGATAAAAGTCGCCGCCACCCACCGCTCAGATCACTTGCGGCTGCCCCTGCAGACTGCGGAGTGGAAAGGGGCTTATCCTGTACGCACCACTTTAAAATCCACTTGGGGTTTTTTTGGTGATGGTTTTCCACAAATTATTTGGAGTCTCTTTGCTCTCTGGGTCTTGATGTTTCCATCTACCAAATAAGCTGGTTATATACTTTTCCTGCCATTCACTTACTTCTTTGCCCATATCCGCGCCCCCCCACCCCCCGCATCCATCCATTGTGAACCTGAGCCAGGTGCCAAGGAGCCGGTGGGGAACAGGCCAAGTCTCCGCCCTGCCGGCTCTCGCAGCTCAGTGAGAGAGACGAGGAGAACCAAACTGGACACTCCGGTCTGTAGGAAGAGCTTAGGGAGCAGGGACAAGGGAGCGAGCACGCTGGGTGCTGTTTCAGGCAGGGGGGTCTTTCATGGGCACCTGTTCTGTGTCGGGCACTTGACGCACTTTGCCCTTCACCCTCACAACTCCGCAGGGTCCTGCTATTATCCTCATTTAACAGATGCCACGGCTCAACAAGGGACAGCATTTGCTCAAGGTCACACAGCCACGAACATGAATGGAAACGTAGATCTCTTCCGTCCCCGAACCCGTGCACCTGCCGGGGCCCCAGGCCCAGTTTCCCTGCACACTCCCTGGATGACGACGGTGTGCTCGTCAGGAGAGAGCTCGCCCCTGGCGCTGGTGAAGGGGAAACGTCCTTGGCAGAGCTGCTTGGCAGAGCAGGCTTTGTTTAGCCTGGGAACTGGGGCCGCCTTAAATATACAATGCCTAAGAAAACACCCGAAGAGGAATCTGGCACGGGACCGGGGTTGGGGTGAGGCGGTCTTCCCTACCTTATGCAGGCTCACTTATCTGCAGAGGCGCACATGTAACTCGATATCCACATTATGGGCGCAGTTATCCCGACCGTTCCCGAGACCCCAGTGTTTGAACCCCTAGTAGAAATCAGATCCAGATCCGGAAGGAGAGAGACAAATCATCTGTGTTCCTTCCCGGACACGTACTTTCATTTTATAGCAGCGGAGGCCAAGACCCCCGAGGTGCAGCGACTCTCCCAGGGCACCCAACCCCGGGCTCCGCTCTTTTTTGGTTCCGCCCCTCCCCCCCTCCGCCGC